CGGCGTCGGGCCTCTTACTCGACGTCCCGGTACATGAAGTACCGGTAGCCGAAGCGTGAGGACTTTCCACTCATGCAAAACACGCAACTCACTTTAACCGATTTGTTTACTGGACGCGCGACCTTGCTGTGACGCGGTCAGTGTCAGCGATTTTGATGGCTCTGAAAGAAAATCTCAGGCCTCAGAACTCCAGTGAAAAAAACACGCTTTCACGCAAAAAAAAAAAACCGAAACCCACACGTAGCCACGACAAAGCATCTCGGATGCGGGTTCTATGCTGGTAGATTCTGAATAAACCACTGTACGGTCGGCTCGAAAGACGAGGAGACCGGAAGAAAAAGGCAGCGAGCCTTGGAGCTGTCATTACATCGATATATTGCTAAATACATTAAAAATAAAAGACGACATGCATGAGGGAGACGAATTACAGTTGTAAAAGGTGCCGCCATGAAATCAACATGTGACTACGTAGTGGCGCCGGATTTTGATTTCTTTGCTGTGAAAAATACTACACACAAAGGGGAAAACGACACGAGGGTAAAAAAAAACAAGGAAAACTTATCCTACCAGCTACCATGTCGGATGCCGAGCAGCGGCAACAACCCAAGCTATAAATCCGGACAGGAAAAAAAGCAGGCGATCCAGCAGAGCTCGCTAGATTTCATCTCCACTCGAGGCGGAGAGAAATTAAGAGTGATGGACGGCTGCCTATAGGCTTTGTTAAAAAGATTCTGATATTGCTATAGATTCTGATATTGGTATATGCTTTGTTAAAAAGATTCTACTATTGTTACCAACTTTTGAAACAGACACACACACAATCTAACCTTATGTTGCGTTTTCCATTTTTCTAGCAGTTGGCGGTTTCTTTTCGCGAGTGGTGTTCCTTTCCAGTTCACTTCCTGTGCCATCAACTCCTCAATCATACGTCCCAATTCTCGTAATGCCCTGACTCTGCGTGTATAATGCCTAGTACATGGTAACAACGCAAGATGCTGACAGTGTAATGTCAGAAAATAACACTCTGTAGTAAACTTAGGATCAGACCAAGCGTCTAGAAAAATGAAAAGACAATATGCATATTCAGATTCAAGGCACACATTGATATACAATTATATTCAGAGTGAGGGCCCATTATGAATATGCAGGTTTAGGACCTATTCAGATTTAGTAGATGTTCGTATACACGCTCAGATTCAAGGGCCACTGGTATGGTGATACATATTCAGATTCAGGGGCAACTTCTATTTAAGGTATAGAGAGGGCAGTCACTGTTAATAGCACTATGGTTGTTGCTATGTGTATGTTAAGTACCAGTAGTGGAGATCCCACCTGAGGTTGGGATGCAAATTTGAGGAAACTTTGGTTCAGTCTTCAGATCCTTGCATTTGTCTAGGCTTGTTTGACACCAAGAAGGTACATTAGAAATTATGATCAACAAGATCTGTCATATACACATATAGTCCCAAACATCACTGTGACTAAATCAACTACATGTATGTGTACTGCTTTCAGAAGAAACATTGAAAAACCACAGAAGGTGCCAGTTATATATTTAATTGTGACACACACACTAATGCAGACACATTCAGACACAACAATAGTGCAGATATCTTACCAATTGATTTTTTCCAATCACTAACTTCCTGCACTGTAGCTTTAAGTCTTGTATCTTGGGAAAGATCAATGCGACATTTCGCATGATGTAAATATACTGGATCAACCTACAATTATAAATACAGACAGAATCATGTTAGTTAGGGGAAAGCAGAAACTGAAACATACAAAATATATACGCCCGCCCAACATAATACAACAAGTCAAACGCAAAGGGACAGATACACAACCAATACCATGATTGGGCTTACATATGTGAACAAATTCAGCGTTAACAAATTACAGTGCGAGTCTAGTGCATTTAAAATCTCACCAAAAGACACTCCTCATTATGCATTGCAAAAGCTGATAGTGTTTTTTTTTCACATTTCATGTTTAATTTGTCAACACCTTGAAAGAGTGCTCATTAATTTCCATTACTCACTGATTATACTATTAACCATTTTACCACAAGTTCCCTTTTTTCATCACAAATTCCCAAAATAGTTTATTGATTGAAATTGTGTCTGTTGCCTCCAAAATTATGGTTCATTTCGAGAAATATTGAACAATATAAGAAAACAAGCAGCCTCTGGGCTGAGATAGCTCCGCTGTTAGCAATGCACATTTCAATTAAAGAACAGAAGATATCATTAGAAAATGAACAATATGCATAGTATCAATGCAATGGGGACTTGCTGTTTTCAACAAGAATTCAAAAATATCATTTTTCACCATAAATGTTTGTGGTTTTTAACAAGAAGTTTTTATCAAAAATGACAAAAATATTCACCAAAATTAGAGAATTAAAGATATCATTACAAAATGAACAAATCTGAGAGAGGTCCACATGTAGTACCTATATAAAATAAGATAAGATAACAGCTTTATTACAAGCGTGTAGAAAATTTTACATTTCTAATTTGGTGTTTAAAATGTAATAAAGTTAATAATGAATAACTAAAAAAGTAAGTAGGCGAACGTTGAGTAAATAAAAAGTTAAATAAGTGTGACTGAGTGTATTCTTTTGTTTGTTCATTTATGTAATATATATAATGTTCGATATATGTAATATCAAAGCAATTGGACTTTTTAACAAGAAGTTGAAAATATCACTTTTTACCAAAAATATTCACCCAAATTAGAGAATTGT